TTTTTCAGATTATCATTATATATCACCATTTTTCTGATTATACTATTTACACGACAGTAATGCATGCATTTGTGTGTTTAGATGATAAAATAGAAGACTTATGGTTATGCTAATTATATGCAAATTTGTCATGGTTTTTGATGAGCAGTAATCATTATATATTACCATATTTCTGATTATATTATATTCGGCCAGTCATTGTTTATTAGTTATTAAATCTTGGATTATTGTTTGTTTCAAACCAGTATAGCAGCTATAGCCATTGCGGACAATAAGTAATTCCAGTCAAAGAGATCAATTTGTTTTTCACATCTGGTGTACGTATTGTCCCACATGTACTAATAAGTTTTCATACCAGGGTTGCTATGAGAACTATGATTCCTATTTCGAGCATTTTCTGCTGATATTTCTTTTTTCCTATCCTCGGAGGCAGACATCCGGGCGTTTTTCACCGCTTGGCAACCCTCTCGGTGAAAACAAAGGCCAAAAACTTGTTGTTGAGACCCCCCTGAACAGTGTAACAAGACTAGCTCTATGTGTGTAACATATGTAAATTTGGTTGTTCAGGATTACTTCAAAGTTGAGTTTGTGTTGTTTTCTCGAATTTTCACCGGCTCAACCGGCGTTCCATAGCAGCGAACAAAGAGCCCATAGAAATACATGTACAGTGGTGCGTGTCTTAGCAACGTGGAACGTCTTGTGACCTAGCTCCGCCCCCGAGGATATTTTTCATTCATCAAAAATTAGGAATTACGGGTAATTGCAGCTAGAATGAAATATTATACTGTATACTAATTATTGTGAAACCTAGTAGTAGATAAAAACTGGAATGGATCAAACTAATCTATAAATTAGAAAATTTTTATTTTTTAAATATTTTGAGCCAGGCGAGGTCCATCATTGAATGTCATTAATCTGCATATTGCAAGTGCTTATAGTACATTTTGTGCACTTTGCCGAAGAAACTAAATGTTTGGAATATGTGACAAGACTGAAATTATCTTCTATCATATCTATTGATAATTTAATGTGATATCCTGGGATGAACAAAGCAGGACCTTAATCAAGGCTCTTCCAAAGTCACAACCAATAAAGTTAAGATAATGAATCTCACAGTGGATTTGACTTCCCTATAAATGCCCTAAAACAGACAAAACATGCTACATGTATATTCACTCAGTTTGTACTTATTTTCTCCGAACCGAGTACAGTGACCCCATATTTTTATTCTATTTTCTTCATCCTCTTGCCATGAAATATATGAAAATGATGATATTTCAGTTCTGTGTAGCATTCTACCTAAACAGATCTTTTTTTTTAAATGATACGTCTCACCCTTTCTGCAAATCCGTGTCTGAGCTTTTTGTCATACAATAACGACAGTGCCCTTTTCTTTCTATAAAAGTACACAGATGACAAACATTGACTTTCAAATTCAATTGCATCATTAGTAACAGTAATTAAGTAAATTTTTCAAGTTGTTGTTGAATTTCAATGTTAAGATCATTAGGAAAGAATTTTGATGTAAAATGGGAATTTGTTTAGTAATTTTTCAAACCTAATAATGTGAATTTTTTTCTATTTTTAGTTGAAAACATGCTGTTTAAATGTTGTATGGTGTATTAGCCCATTGTACAATACATTTCACACACGTATACGCATCATTTGCAGTAGCAAATTAGAACATTTACCAATTACTTTACAAAATGAGCAATTTATTGTTCCCTATTGTTATTATAATATGTTCCCATGGTATTTAATTAGTCACGCCTTCTGTTATATATAAATGAAATGAATAAACTTATGCAGAGACATTACATATTTACATAATTACATAATTAGTATGTATTTGTTAATTGGTTAGAGCATACACATACTAAGATATAGGATATGAATGGTTTTTGAGACTTACTCCAAAAAATCAAACAACAGAGACGTGTCTATGGTCAAAACATATTTAATGATCTAATCATACAGTATATGCAATTAATCTATCTTTCTTGTGCACTTGTGCTTCTAAGTTCTATTGAAGCAAATTTAGTATTGAAGTGTGCCACTTTGTAAATATTTTACAACCTAAAACAAAGATTTGTTTTCAGTCATGACAAACTGTAAATATTTTACTGCAGTACTTTTTATCTTTAGGGACTTTTGTGAATTTTATTTTTTGTTAACCTTGAAGTTATTGAATGCTAACATAAATAGTGTTTTAACTGAGAGATCTTATTATATGTACTCTATACATTGTCTACTACAAATGGTTTAATTAATCAAACTTTAACAAACTATTTGCACTGTGTAATATTTGAGGAGTACTTATGAAAAATATTGAAAGAAAACCATTGTCAATGTCAATGTCATGCAGTCACTTGTGATAACTCTTAATAGCTATATGCAGGCTCAAATCATGCATGGAAGGCTTGAGCCCTCGTTATATAATTATGCATGAATGAATCAACTAAATATGCATCTGTTCATTTTTTTGGACTCAAAATTTAAAACTTTTCATCAGATACATTCATGTATGATGCATTAATTGTTTTTTCGACACCAGTGTTTTGTTTGTAGATCCACTCTTTCATGGCTTCTATTTATTCCATTGTCTGCAGCCCATTATATGCATGGCCTTGTGAAGTCATGTAATTTTGTTTCACCCCCCCCCTTTCATTCAACATCACCTTATTAAATTTATTCCCATGGCATATTCCATTTTGGAGGTAGGTAGATTGACAGCTGGGTAACAAAGATAATATTCCCTTGTTTCCGATTCTCCATAAACGATAACAATTTTCAAGGCATGATCACCGGTAATAAAGATTTATATCTGCATTACCTGTGTAAAAAATGAACAAGTCTACATCCGTCATACATCACATCTACACACCCCTACATGAAAATAGTCCATCCCTAATTAAAATACAGCTGATTTTTGAAAACATAAATGGACGAATAATAAAACATGATGTGTCTTATTCATTCAATGGTTCCAGCACGCAAGGAATATTTCATATAATAATATTTAGGGCACGTCAGTCCTTTTCCACATCTGAAACATCCGTGTCAAATTTTCTGTCTGCGTCATCTCCATCTTAGAAGGTAAGCCCAGATGCATCAAATTTATAACTATCATATGCAATTATGTGTAGTGCAGTAAAAAGTACTTAGCTTTGAATTCAGATTATTTGATATAAGTCTCCTGTCTAGATGTAGGATGCGTATATCAAATATTATTAGATATGTTTTAATATTCTAGACAAGTATGTTATTGACTAGATTGATCACATATATATGTACTGTGCCATCTATTAGCTCTTTGTTTTTCAATAATGATTCTCCTTATCTCCAGTACATCTGAGTGTGCCTTCCTCTATTTATAAATAGATTATACAAAAACTGCTCACTGTGTCACAATAATAATAATGACTGTAAATGCTTTAATATATTTATTATTATTTTTTCATTTTTGACTTCCGTGTGCCAAGCACGTAGTCTTTGCAGTTACCTGTCTGTGTGTGTATGTGTGTGTGAGTCTGTATGTGTGTGTATGTGTTCAATCATTATGTCTAGAATTGCTGGTAAGATTTCAATAAAACATGGTACATAGGTGCTCTGGGACAATGCGCAGACCTGATTAGTTTTGAGTGAAAATTTGTGTCATCCGTTTAATCGTTAGTTTTGGTTTTGATATTTTTTAAGACCAATTTTTTTATTTTATAGATAAGTACCCTGAATATATATGTTTGATATAGTCTCATGCTATGTATACACAATCAATTGTTTACAAAATTTAAACATGCACTACAGAAAGACTATATGTCAATTTAATTACTGAAATTGCTAAAAGCTTTTGCTGTTAATCCTTATGCCCTAAAAATAGATACTATATGTTGAATGTAATTTTGAAGAGCAAGCAAAATTGTCTTAATTTTATTACTTAAAGTCCTTGCAAATTAAAATGCATTTTTGATATCAATTGATATGGCTGCATATGTGACATGTCTGTTTTTATTTCATATAATTTGGGAATCACACAGATTCCAGATACATGTAGTATGAACACAACATCATTTTATTGTTTTGTATAGCACACTCCAGCATGTGACCTTATAATTATAATTCATATTTAATTTGAGTCTGATTGTACAAACAGCTCGATGCTCTCTCTGGATTTATAATGTTGGTAAAGTTTGTAATTGAAAACAGGAAATGGTATTTTTTTTTTCCATTTCAATCATAATGTACTTTATACTATTTCATCTTGAGATTTTTAATCAATTTTGTAAAATTTGACTGCATTTACTGCTCACAGAGGTCAAGTATAATGTAATGTCATTCTATGTACTTGCCAAATGTCACACGTAACATATGTGTTGAAAACAAAATAATAAATATCAATAACTAGATTCATTACAAGGTGTTGTTATTAAGCTATTGACGCTCCAAATGCAAAACTTTATCTGAAATGTGAATTTGTAGACATTATTCATTGCAGGGACTTTTGGTTTGACCCGGTCCGATGTATATTCCTGTTGTCATGACAATTTGCTCCTCATTGTCTAATTGCCTATTTCAATCATGTATGACATGGCCTACATCAAGGAGATCTGACAATGCATAATTATACTACATCCCAGTTAGCTCTGTAATTGTATAATGTTCATCTAGGAGGTATTATACCACCTATGGTTTGACTTCTGTAACAGTGGGATAGTTGTCTGACTACAATTAAATCTGTCTCCCTGTAGGTACCCCACCTGCAGCTTTCTCCCCAACTCCACGTCCGTTTCCGAAGCACGTGCCCTCCCCGATGGATGATAAATATGAAGAAATCGCCAAAAATCTTTTCAGACAAAGCCGGGCAGAGTCAGAGTCTCGCACAGCTCAATACGAATTTCCTGATCAGTTGCCGATAGAGAAGGAGCAAGAAACGAAAGTGGCTTTACAGCGACAAATCAGTCTAAATCAGAACAGGTTAGTGAGGTAGTCACCTCAATTTTTTATTAAGTAATCGATTTATACAACATTTTTTTGGCTTCACTTGTTGAATGTCATCATGTTCATTTTGTTGACAGTTTTACCAATCAGCTCAGAGGGGAAAAGTCTCTGTCATATTACAGCAGCGTTTGTTTTCCGTATCGTATTCTGTTTACATGCAGCTACATCTTCATTGTTATGCAACACACTACGCATTTAATAAATAATAGTTTGTCATTGCAGACTGAGTCTTAACTTTATAGTTATCAAACGTTTTATGGCACTCAACTTTCACAAATGTTATCTGTTCAATCACATGTTGTTTTGCATAAACCAGAAAGTTACCTTAAAATACTATGAAGTTCTTTAATTGCATTTTGAGGAAAATTTCAGAAATCAGTGAAATTTTTGATTTTTGTTGTATAGAGTAATTCCAAAATCTTTCACAGAGTTTTGTCTCCATGAACGATTTGCATTAACGATTAACAGCTAATCATTAAATTTTGCCACACAATATTTGTTATTGATGCTTTGACACTTGAGGGTGCAGTTTATAGGAAAGGCGAGAATGAACCTTAATTGAAAATTTTTAAATGATCATTTCCACAAAAGTTTATTTTTTTATCATTACTATTTGTCTGTCTTGAAATTAAAACTATTTACTGTCTTCTGAATATTAAATAAATTATAACAAAATCTGAAGTACAGCTCAATGATTTGTAAATAAGCTGCCATATTTGGTCAAGACTGGAAATAAGCTGCCATATTTGGTTAAGACTGGAAATAAGCTGCCATATTTGGTCAAGACTGGAAATAAGCTGCCATATTTGGTCAAGACTGGAAATAAGCTGCCATATTTGGTTAAGACTGGAAATAAGCTACCATATTTGGTTAAGACTGCAAATCAACTGCCATATTTGGTTGAGACTGTATTAGTTAGTGTGGATACGTCTCTTGTATAACTTTGCAATGACTGAAATTAACATTGAATATCGCTTTTCGATTTAACTTTTTGAGCGACATATTTTGCCCACCTACAATTTAGAGCAACATTTTTATGAATAATATTTGTTTCATAATTTGTTTTATAATTTTGGATCAAATTTCCCATTGGTTATAGATCATGATCAAAATTTTTTTAACAATATAAAAAAAAATTATCAGTTTTTATTCTGTGGAAGTTGGCAAAAGTTGACTGTTGTTCAAAGAGTATAATATTACCAACCCAATTTTCTACTGTGTACTGTGTGTGTAACTAACATTATTTTTTTTTCTCTCTCTCTTTTTATCTGTTATTATTTTCATGTTTGTCCTGTCTTAACCAATCCTGTGTTGATTTCCCCCGTGTGTGTGTTTTCCTAACCTTCTCTTGCTTGCTGTGTTCCTGACTCAAAAATACAAAATCAACATTTTCCTGAACAGATCCAGTGAGATGGTTGATTTCCGCTATACGCCGAGCAGGTCTGTCGGGAGAATCATTATTTCATGTCTCTTATTTTTAATTCTCTTTTAACTAGGTGTATTTAGGTATCTGACATTTATTGTTTTCCAGTGGACACCCTCCTCTTTGCTGTCATAGTACATTCACAAAGCGCCCTCTAGTGGCAGATACGTTCTAATTTGGCAATTACAGTTTTTGATCGAAAGTGTATTTTTCTCCTGCTTATTCTGTATGTGTATATTTGGTGCTTTGTGAAACTGTACTATTTTACCAGAAAGTATTCATTACACATAGTAAAATAATATGTAAATGTAATGTTGTAGTCACTGTCATTTCATACAAATACATGTGTTACATGTATCTGCACACAGTGGACCATGTACTGTATTGCGATGTGAGCATTATATATATGCCATTATAGGGGATCATGCCAGAAGCTTCCTATTTGCACATGATATACATGTAGACTTTGTAGCAATGTATACTTGTGTAATCTATTTTGAAATTATGTGACCGTTAATGAAGCACAATATCAAATAATATACATGTACATGTACTATGAAGACAGTATGTTTCAATGCCATATATATTGGCTGAAACTATGAGACAATTACTAAACATACCACAATTTGTGCTTGAATGCGTGCACTGAAGTACAAGGGTAAATATCTTATTGATAGATGAGAAGCCGTATTCTCGTCAGAAATTTATTTCCCCCTGTTTAGACAATAAGTCTTTCACATTTGTGTGTTAGTGTATCTGTTCCTTCATCTCGTACATGTCTTGACCAATTACAATCAAATACTCAGATATCGTACATTTCTGTGATCAGGTTAACAATGGCCAAATGTCGACCATTTTAGTGCATTTCTGTCATTCTGGAACTAGGTCGCAGCCATATATCGATGGATTTTGTTCAGATTTGGTACATACATTGGACCTTGATGCAAGTCACTTTGTTTTGCAGATTGGATTCAAAATTGAGACTGGTTTCACTTTTAAATATATGGAGCACTTCTGACAATATAACCAATACATGTACATGTACCTGTTATCATTATCGAAAGTATACATAACAGTTCTAAATCACACTTACAGTACCGTCCAGGCATAACTTAACTTCCAAGCTGGCTGACTTTTTTATAAAACCTTTAAATTTTTAAAGCTAGTATCATTATGATGAATATAAGATACCTTTAGACAGACTACTCTTCACTTTTGATACGTAGCAGTTTTGAAAGCAAACCAGCTGTAATTCAGCTTTAAGCTAGCTAAATGTTAAGTTACACTCAGATCAAACTGAACTGTATGCTGTCAGCTTGTACGTACACTGCACTACATTGTTTGTACATACATTGTAGGTGACATTGAATTGTGGACTGACTTGTATACTATGATAATGTATGTCCTTTGTATAAAGAGTTTGCAAACTGAATAATTTTTATTAGTTGGAATCATTTCTAATATTATGAATACCATATTTGTTCTGATAGAAGCACTACTTTAAAGGGCAGTGGCTGTCCTGCAGCACTTGTTCAATTTCATTTAAACATACAGTGTATTTTATACACGTCACTATGAGTCCTAAATCAAACAGAAAGCGGCACAAAGACCATTGCTCTTTAATAGAGGTGCACACAAACCCTAATTTTATATTAATTGTATGTAGATCAATAAAATATGGCATTTTTTTACCATAAGCATATACAAATGTAGAGCTACTAATAGAGCAAATATGGTAAACTGCAATACAGATTGGAATGTCAAAATGAATCTGTCTTGTATCTTGTACTAAATTCTTCCACTGTGAAGGAGGCTGGGTTAAGGTACACAAATGTAGAAGCCTACTCATAAATTTTTAGAAAGTTGGTCATAAATTGCATTATAAAAGTTCATTGGTTTATTATGTAAAATCACAGAGCTATGGTTCCAGAGTAAAATTGGCCTAATAACCTTTAAAAAATTTATATCTTTAGAATAATTCCAACCTTTAAAAATTGACTGATATTTTTAGAACAATTCCGAAGAGCACAATGTTAAAGAAAAAGTACATTTTTGTCACTTGTTGACTGGGAGTACAATTTATTGCAAAAAGAATTATATCTAGGTATTTTCATTTATGAGTGGACTTCGAAGTTCTACCATAACACAAATAGTACATGTACATATATGTGAACAACAATATACATTGTAAAGTCTGACACAGTCTGTAGTATTATCTCACATTAACAACTGAAGTTAGGTAAATACATGTAACACTAGATACAAACATGTAACAATAAGATTTTCTGTATAATGAATACTTCCTGCTTCCATTAAAAGTGTCTTGTTAATTTCAGTGCCAGTTATACTATACTTTCATCTTTAGCTCTCTAAAAATATGTGTGCCTGTGTGTGACTTTATTTATTATCATTGTTTTCCCTCATCCAGGTTGCCGCATGGAAAGCACAAGTCAAAAGTTGAACTTCCTGATGATAGGTAACTATGACAACCTAAATAATAAGTGTAAATTATTATCAAATGTTAGTGTCATAGTGTAGGTTGGTGCTGCTGGACTAGATTGTGAAATTCCAGTTAGAACTGGTATTCCGCAAGTTGCTTTTTGTAAGTCTGGATGTAACCAGTTTAATCTTGATCAAATATGTTTTCACTGTAAGTTTCTTTCTGCCTGTCAAGTGACTGGAACCAGGTGCTGGGGAGTTCAAAGAAATTAAGTTGGCTGTGGTTGTGACTAATTTTTTTTTTCCTTGTATGGTAAAGTTAAATTATTTTTTCTTTGTTGCTCACATAAATGGACCAGTGTAATTCTGGAATTGTTCTTTTTAATTGTAATTTAAAAAATTGAACTAATGCTTGCAAGTCACAATCAAACTTTCTATTATCAGATGTGTTCAAATCTAAATTTGTTTTCTTTTTTCCAAAATTAATTTATTTTTTCCTGGAATTATTTTGGCCTTCTGATGATAAAATAATATAAACAGATATATTCTTCACTTTTAAGAAAATGGAAAACAGTTGTGATTTGACCTTTGCAAGTTCACCTGAATCACTGATTCCCAGAAGGTACTCCACTAGTAGATGCTTTCCATTTAATTTTAGCAGATTTCATGTCGTCAAGGATATTTTATACTCATTTTGTTGGTTTAGGTTTGTGAAAGAAACAGTGCATTTATTACAAAACAATAAAATGTATTTTTCAATGTTACCACAATTGGTGGCATCATTTTACAATGGGCAACATTGATAAATAATTTTTCTTATTATCCTATGCATTGTCACATTTATTCCTCACTATCATTATCTTTTTTGTGTTCAGTTATGTCGACTGATTCTTCCTAGACTTTTGACAGAGCACTATATGTGTATCCTATCATGCATCACTTTTAGTTCTTACATGTACTTTATAATAACTTCTTGTCTGTAACCCTTGTATATCAACAACATGAGGGGACTTGGAAAACAAAAACAACATCTTGATTGAAAGTGGATTCTTGGTTGTGAGTGATCCACCACTCAATCAAAATTGCCAGTGATTGTTAACTTGTCAAGCTCATTTTATTTTTTTTTAAATTGGTGAAATTTTTTGCACATTTTTATATATTTTTTTAAAAGATTTCTTCATTGATTTTGAGCTTAATATAATTTCCTATTTGTCTATATCAAAATGTTTGAAAAAAAAATTGCAAGTTTGGTCAAATCTTTGCAATCAGTAATTCAACTCCCTGGCAAGAAATTTATCTTTAATTAACTTTCATTTCATCTTTCACCCTAGGAGGTCAACTCACCTTCTATGGTACTCTTACATCATCTTTATTTTGCAATTTTCACAATTAAGTTTTTCACTTTTAGTTAAAATAACTTTGTAGTTTATCTTTTCCAGTTTCATCTATCAGGTTAAAGTGGGTCACTGAAAGATGTTTTTATGTACTAGTATTGTAATTTTTTTCTGTCATTAGTGTTGCTGTTAGTCAAGCACTAGAATCAATTGAGAAAGATGTTGTTGCCGGGATACCAATACCCAGAGAGAAGCAAGAGAAAGTTCAGCGTATCTTAGATGAAGATCTTGCTACAAACTTTCAACGTGTTTCAATTTCTGGAACAGATGCATCTGGGGTGAGAATTTCACATTATTCATTTGTTATTTGTGCAAATTAATTGCTATTTATGAAGATTACTTGTTATTAAAACAGTTACTTCTCATCCTTGGAAATATTGAAAAATGTTGTGGTGACATCCAATTTTTAGCTCTGCTGTTGACTTGTCAAGCATACATGTAACTCATCATATGAGTGATTGTCCTTTGTCCATCGTGCACATCTACTTTTTACGTTTTGGACTTCTTGAAAAATACAACCCTGCTTGCTTCAATACTTGTTGTATATACACCAAGTATCGAAGCAAGCAGATCTCTCTTAGATTTGTTTATTTCATGATGATTTCTTTGATTCACTAATTTTTGTAAAAAATACTATTTGTGAATTTTTTGACTTATTCTTGAAAACTACAAGACCAATTGCTTGATAATACACATATTGATGTGGATATCGCGCAGATTTGTTTATTTCGTGATGGTATCTTTGATTCTCTAATTTTGATGAATATTTTTGTAATTTTTGGTAAAAAGTGATATTTTTGAATTCTTGTTAAAAACCTCAAGTCTGATTGTTTTTATTTATTAAAATTATTCAACACAACAACAGAATTGATGGTCAATGTATACTAATAATAATATTAATGAAATAATGCTTTTGATTACATGCATTAATGTTTGATTTGGATAACGGAACATCCTCTGAAAGAGAAAACAAACATTTCCCTATTTCATTGTGCATTTTTCGATATGTGAGAGAGATGTGTGACAATCTTCCTATCATAATGGCGATTTGGCGCTATCCTGGCAACAACCAAGCCCAGTTGAACACAAGCACATGTAGACCTTAATTTAATCAATGTTCCCCCAAAGTCACATCTGTTAGTGATTGAATCTCAGCCAGTGAAAATCAGTCTTCCAATTGAGTCTGTTATACACTTACCCATTCTAAGGGTAGACCCTTTTCAGTGTTCAACATAACATAGTATATTTCTAATGACATATCAATGCAACACGTCATTCAACATTTTTTGTCATTTCATCCAGGTTCCCATCGAGGACTTAAAAGAAGCATCTAAATCTATCATTGGTGCTCTTCGAATTAGAGAGAAATACATGAAACTGGCATTGCAATCGTTTCCCAGACATCTCTCCAGGTCACTGAGAACAGTGGATGGTAAACCTAATGTTGTATATGTTGATGATGAAATTATAACTAATGGATCAGCTACTGATTATGGTAAGAAAAGATGCACTTTGACCATACCAGGTTTAAGTTTTATACCAGATATTTGATTGATAGCAAAAATATTTCTACGAGCATTAAGGCTAAGATCATGTATCAGCTTGTTATCTTCAGTTCTTTAATTGGCGTTTGCATTGCTAACAGCAGAACTATCTCAGCCAAAAGGGTGCTTGTCTTTATAACAATTGTAAACCAGCCATACTCGTATTCATGTTTTGTAAACCGGTATTGTCTTTATATATAATAGCTACGTAACTGTGGTATATTTTGTAAACTGTAATATTGTAAATCAGACTTTGTACCTTGGCTAAAAATGTGCAACTTTAGCTGAGTGGCTATGTCTGGAGTTGACGAGGACACAGATTTCTTTCTCAACTATTGATTAAAAGCAGTCAATGAAAGGGTTTAAACCCACATCATCAACCATAGTAGGTAGAGATTCTAATGACTGAGCTGTTGTGATTTCTGGTTGAGGTTAAGGGAAAAAACAAACATTAGAAGAATCATTTCATTATCAAGTGGTATACATTAATTTATTAATGAGCAATTGACAAAGTGTGCAGTACAGGTACATCTTTTGTGTGATATGTAAATTAACATATATTCAGCACTCTACACTAGTAAAGCAACCATTGCCTGGTTTTTAAATTTATCATTTTCTTTTGTAGTATAAATTTGAAACACTTGCTTGTCAGACCAAAACTGGGGTTGTTGTTGTAGTTGTTGTATCTGTAAACCCACATGTTCTTGGGCGGTTTGTAATACATATACAGCAGTACATAATGCTAGTTCACCATGATCCAAGCAGAATGTTGACTGAACTGTATATACTTACAGCAACTATATAATGTTTTTTGTATTTCTAGATCACACAGTTCATCCACCAATTTCTACCAAAGATCCGTTTGAGTGTGATATTCCTGGGCCAATTCAGTGTGAGTTGAAAATGATAGAGGGTGTCATTCATGTGTTTCCAGCCGAGGATGACGACACTCAGCTTGATAAAGACAAACCGCTAGAATTCCCATACATTGACAGACGGTCATTCATAGCAGATATGAATGTGTTGGTGGCTTTGATGGCCAATGGCCCAATGTAAGTACGAAAGTCAAATGTGTTTCGGAAATGACACAAATGATTCTGTTTTAATGGAAGGGCTCAAAATTAAAAACATTTATAACTTGTTTTTGGAAAATGGTTGTCCATTCGAAAAAGAATTAGTCCATTTGGAAATTGCACAACAAATGTTATTGAAGTTAGTGTCGCATTGGAGTCTCACAAAAGATCAATGTAGTTTTAATATGGTCTTGTTATCTTTAGGAAGAGGTCATTTTTAATAATATTAAAACAAGAAACAGACATTTTATTTTTTTATTTGTAAATTTTTTTATGATTGTCCAAATGGGCAACTAGTTTTCAAATGTGGTTGTCCCATGCTAAATACACTCAAACAACCATTATTTTCAAGCCCTGCATAGTGTGTGTGAGTGCATGACATGCTTTCTTACATACAGCACATACAAGAAACAGCCATGCTATACTGCTCAATGTTGTATGAAAGTCACAGTGGATTTGATGGCATTATGTAACTGATAATTATCTTAATATTTTTATCACCCTTGTTTTTTTTTTCAACAGTAAAAGCTTTGCATATCGTCAGCTACAGTTCTTATCAGCCAGGTATCAATTACATATTCTTCTCAACGAACTGAAGGAACTTGCTGCACAGAAGAGTGTTCCACATAGAGACTTTTACAACATTAGAAAGGTATGATATTATCCAGGGTACTTGTGTATTTTGGAAATAATAAGTTTGCTTGTATCAGGGTACTTTTCTGCTTTATATGCTGGTAAGGCTGCCATATATTGTCACTAATAGCAGAGTATACCTACCTTCATGATTTATACAAATATTTTTTTACTCTTATGTGTGAATCATGCAATGGGAGTCTTTGCAGTCAGTGTGTCTGTACTAGTATGTGTGTGTGGCATATGTATGTGTGTGTGTACAAGTCTTTCTCACTGATATCTCAAGAAACAAACATCATATTTTTATGAAACTTGCTGCATTTATGCTCAGTCAAAATGATCAGTTTTTAGTGGAAAAGTGTGCATAATAATTATCTGATTTGCATATTAATTGGATTACTTTAAGCTTTCCCATGGGGGTAGTTAATGTATATTTAATAAGCTTTTCCACTTTAAAGAACCATCCAACAGATTTCAATAAAACTTGGTTCACTTATGCTCTGTGATGGTGTACATGTCTGATTCGTCTCTGGTTGCAATTTGTCTCGTACTTGATTTTTCTCAAAATCTGTGGCCAAAAAAAATGATCAAAAAATATTATCCTGTGGGTCTGACAACGGAGAGCATTAATTGGACCATAAACAAATAACAATAATTTTGTTTTGACTGTATGAGTTATTAAAGTTGGTTTTGGTGAATACAGCCATAATTATTTTCGCTCGTCTGTATTTTATAGTAGCCGAGGTTATTGAATATGACATTGTTTGTCTAGGGATTACATTTAATAATAGTTTTTAAAATATCTGTCATCTTTGTGTGTTGACTCTTGTTATTATTATTATTATTATCTTATTGACATTGTTGTATTTTTATCATGCTATTGAGAATTTGATACAAAACAAAGTAAACATTTATAAGGTGTCCCTTGATTGGTTCGATAGTTAGAGTGTTCAGTCTGGGTAGCCAATGAGGTGTGATTTTATAACTCGCATATTGTGGGCAGTTTTTATCCAGAATGAGCTTAGGATAATGAAGTACAACTCTTAGAAGTTTCATGAAATTGTGAGAAAAAACATCTGAAATAAACTTTAAATTAATGATGTTACTTGTTTTTGTGTGTCAAATAAGTTAGTCATGAAAATATTTTTGTTATGCTTTTCTCTAAATGGCAATTTTTCTGAGGAAAAATTGGATCAGATGTAATCTGGGATATATGTGAAGCTGTGACTTGTAGAAAGATAAATGATGAATAATGCTGAAGTTAGGATTTAAAAAAAAAAACAGTTAAACAAATTATAGTACTACATTCTCAGATAATATGGTTTGGGTTTTCTTAAAAAAATTTCTGTTTCTGCTTTCTATAAAAATCTTTTTTTAGGAACCATATACACATGTATGTTTACTAAAAATAAAAAAATAAAATAAAAACATAATCAATTTATATATATCATGATGCTGCTATTTAAAATGTATAATGTTTTGAAAGCAGGTAATACATAATGTATTAGTTCTGGTGGTGACATGTTAACACATTTATGATAATTCGTAATGCTAAATATTGCCAAGTTTTTGTTGCAATGGGCCATTCCAGTTTATATCTGCACCCCCCCTGTTGATGAGCTTGTGTGCTTACTTCATACAGGGTATAATTTCCATGGGTGTACAAGTCATACAAAGTTTTATTTCCAAATCACCATCACCATACAGTAATGGAAATCCAAAACTATAGTTCCTACTTATGGTGTTGATGAGTTCCTTTGTGCCACCATACAGAGTAGGATTTCTAAATATAACTCATCATATGCTAATTTACCAAGTTAAAAATTTTATATTTGATAATGGAAATCCAAACTAGTCCTGATTCACAGTGTTGATGAGCTCATTCGTGCCACCATCCTTATCTAATTTCAGTAATAACTATTTCATACTGGCCCAATTTTTTTACCATATACAGGTCAGAATTCCAAGTTTTTTTAATCATACTGTTGGAATCCAACCTCATCAACCGGTATGTGGCGAGATAA